TGTTCTAAATTATCCCAGCATGCCGGACACATAATAATGGCCTTGAGTTACAGGAAGCCAAATTTTGGTTGAATATCAGGAAAACTTCTTAACTGTTAGAGCAGGACAACAATGGAGCCAATTACCTCTGGAGCACTCCAAAGGTGGAGGCATTCAAGAGAAAATTGGACAGCCCTCTGCCAGATTTGCTTTGACTTAGATTCCTGCACTGAGCAGCAGATCTTACCTGATGACCTTATAGGCCCCTTCCAGCTCAATTATTCTATGATTCTATCCAGTAAGGAAATCCTCACAACCATGTGATGAATATCTGGAGGAGAAAGCTAATGTGGCCATCCAGTAAATTCTCCAGCATCTCCAAACAAAACCAGACCAAAATGTGATGAGATGAGAACAACTATGACCACTTTCTAGACTAGACCTGATCAACGAATCAACAACCTGGAATTTTGCTGGATTGCAAAGATGGAGGATGTCTATCTCCATATGTCCAAGAAGTCATAACATCCAGCTCACCAGTGGAAAGCATCAATGACCCTTTAAACTATGAAAGATATAACCAGTGTGCCTGGAAGATTGTCCACATTTGTACAAGCATAGCATTTGAACAGTCAGCAATAATCAGTCATTGCAAATATTATTGTTCTATTGTCTGAATCTTTTGAAGAGCACTTCTTAAAGATGCTAGTCCTAGTGGTTCCAGATGTTCCACTTGTTAGGAAAAAAATACATTGAGACAAGCAATTAAACCCCCCGCTCACAAAGAATATGATAATTTAACTTGGAAATTCTTCATCTGTGCAACATAACCTGCAGTCATTGATGAAAGGGAGGCAGCTGAGTGAAATTGCAACACGGAACAGAATATCTGAATCGTTTACTCACTTCCTTAAACTGTATTTCTAGAGAGCAATACTCTTTCCTGTTCCACTTCATCTGTTGCTAAATATTTCCGCAGAGTTAAAAATAACAACACATAATGTGTGATACTACAGTAAAGCCTCACAATAGAGCCTTATAGAGAAACATAAAGGACTAAAATTTTTTTAAAAGAGCATATTTTGAAAGGATTCAGGAAATTGCCAAGCCAAAAATCTTTCTTAACAGCCTCCAAACCTTCTAAACTTTCATCTTCCAGTCTTCTTTGGAAGCTCTAACCTCACAGGCTAATCTGAGGTACAAGACAACCTTAACCCCATCTGAATATTTTCTTTATACGGTATATTTTAATAACTACAATTTGTATTCATATGACTGCTCAACCTGAATACATGTAAGGCCTTCATTTAATGTTACTGATTTAATAGTCTTTTCCTTGTATATGAAATATGCCTTTCTCTGGAAAAACTGGAACTCCAAAAAAAAACCTGACTTCTAGTGTTTGTGGCAAGAAATAGAGAAAGCAAAGCAAGCCTTCTCCAGCATCTACTAAGGCCCCAGGCTTCTTCAGACAGATGTTCCTCACAGGGACCCCTGCACCCCAATGAGTATCAGGAGGTGCCTGCCACAGCTGGAAACACTGTGCTAGTGAAACTTCCCGTTGCTATAAGTTCTAGTTCTGTTACTACCAATGTGGATGCTACTCTCTGTCTGAGAGAATTCAGTCAAGAATACCTAGCACTGTATCTTCTCTCTTTTCTCCTCACCCCCATTGTTCCTTTCCACATACATATACACACAATTCTCTCCCTTCACAGTCACTCATTCTGCTTGCACCATGGTTAGAAACCCATTAGTCCCATCCTCTACCCCACTGCTCCACCTCTGCCCGCACACTCCCCGTGTTTTGCACTCATGCTTATTCTTTTTTCTGTTCCTACTCCAGTGCTCAGCCCAGTTCAAGGGATACAAATGTAACTTTTTTGGTTTACAGCTCCCAGGGTCCTCAAACCAACACAGCCAACTGAGATTTAACCAATCCAGTTATGTAAACTGGGTCTTCAGGAGTATCTGTGCAAAATGTTGTGTCTAGCACTGACCTTACCAGTAAGAGGACTACCGCTACAATTCCCAGAAAACATCTGGGAGGACATCTTTGGAGTACATTTCCCAGGATCTCCCCCACCCTCAGGCAGCCTGGGCAATTGAAGTTGAGAAATGGCGGATAGCTGAATGGTTTAGGCATTTGGCTGCAGAGCCAGAGATTGGAAGTTCAGTTCCCCACTGTGCCTCCTTGGCAAGTGCTGGACTTGATTATCCATAGGGTTCTTCCAGTTCTGCAGTCCTAACATTACTATTCTTAAATTAGTGGTACCCATGAAAAATTTCAAGTTTCAAGGTCTGACCATTTTGGCGAGAGGATGATAAGTCCCAGAATCCCCAGCCATCATGGACAGTTAAGATCTAAGATCAATCAGACAGTTAAGTTTGGACTTCTTTCTCTTGCTGTTTTGAAACTCTTCAGGGGAAGTAAAAGGATTATATGTCCCTGGTTGTCTGTAGATGCATTCTTTGGGCCACGTCCTCCAGAATCCATCATCCAACAGAAACAGTTGAAATACCACGCAACCGCTGGCTTGAATTGGGTCCTCGGTAGTATCCATGCAAAATGCCATGCTTCTAGTTCTTACCATTTCAGAGATTAGACCATTTGGTTTGGAGAACTGCATCTTCCAGGATTCTCCCAGCTAGCATGGCCAGTCTCAGTAACATCTGCCCCATTTTTTTATTATTATTATGTATTATTTCTAGCTCTTACCATTTCTGAGATGAATCAGCACTGAGTGGAGACCACGAAGTTTCTCAGAGGCCAAAGGCTTCACTTTTGTTAGGGAGCCTTATAAGAACAGCAGAACATTTAAGGTTCACTAGCAAAAGTGCTTGGCTTTGCAAAGCTGAGGAGCCTCTTGGTCTCCACTCACTGCTGATTTATTCCCACTCACCTACATGGTCATTCCCTCCATTCCTAAAGGGAGGGAAGGAGCACAAAAATTCAAGCAGCCTTTCTCATCACTTACTTACCCACCTACCTACCTACCTACCTACCTCATTAGATGCTCCTTTTCTTTCCCAGGGAGCAAATGCTCCTTTCTGTCTTTATACCTCCATAGGTGACCTTTCACATCCACACCCCTTCTAGTGCCCCTTTCCTTTCTCTCTGTTCTCCCCCACCACCATACTCACACATTTTTTTCTTTTTACTGTCCCACCACCATCTCTGTGCTGCTTCAGCCTTTCCCTTTTCTCATTCTCCCTTCACTCACAAGTTGGCCAGGTAGCTACACCTTCTCTCCCCCCTGCCCACTGTGTGTGTGTATCTTAATTTTTTCGAAGAGGGGAGCAGCAGTCACACATGGCATTTTATAATTTTTCCTCTACCTTTGGAGTCCTGTGGAGCTCCCTATGGGCCCTCTGGAGAGATGAGTATGCGAAGTCTGACAGCAACTTCTGCTCTGCTGGTTAGGGAAGACAGAACACTTCTCCTTTCAACAACACTGGGGTTAGGTGTGCAGTTCCCCCACATAGATGAAATTCTTATGCCCTTCAAAACATAACTATGAAGCGTAAGCAGCTGATTCTCTCTCACACACAAATATATATACAAAACAGATAAGTGTGCTATATTAACCGCACCGCTTGCCCCAGCACACTCCCCAGCTGCCACATAGAGCTTCCATGCCAGGAGAGGGGCTAGATGGGCCACCACCAATGGACCTGGGGAAACCTTGCCATCAACAAGGGCCTTGGTAAGTTCAGGACCCACCTTTTTCATGTCACTTCTGTTATTTCTTTCTTGAAATGTTTGTTTGTTTGTTTCAAAAAATCCATGTATAATCAAAATATGCTGCTCAAACCCATGCAATTCAAGGGAGAAGTGTACCGTGAGTTATAGATGCACATCTTTGAGGTCCCCATAGCATATATGCCACGTTTCAGGTTGATGTTGAAGCTGTGGTAAATAAAAATAAACAGATGACCTCATATACTTCTTCTTCTCTAGGACAGATTCATATTTCAGATTCTCCTGCAGAGAAATACACCCTAAGTTAGAGGACTACTATGGTGGAGTGTAGCAGCCTCTCAATTTAATCACATTCATGATTTAAAATTTAAAAAAATTCAACAAATAAAGTAAATTTAGAAACAGATTGTTTTCTAATTCTTTTTTTAAAGGAATGGCTGTTCTATCATACTAAAAAAATAACAGTTAAAATTTTTATGGGAGAAATGTTCAGCACAGTACTTTTAAAAAATAGACAGGGGGGGAGGAAAGAAATGCAACTTATGAAGCAAGACCCAAGATTGACCACAGACCCCTGCCTTCAATACTCATTTTTGTGTTTCCAAGCTGCTCATCCCCAAGTTCAGGTTACACCTGCACACAATGGATACTCTTCAGCATTTCGTTGCAAGATTATATATCTCTGCTATTCAAGATTTCATCTGGGATTGCTCCATGAGAAAAGGCTATGTGGATCAGGTATGAAAGAAAGCCAATCAAGACTGGAGTCGAATATGCCACAAGGACACCTCCAGAGACGCTGTGGTGCCCTGGTCTCACTTAGCAGTCACTTCCAGTTTGGTGGCCAAGGGAGATAATGCTTGAGCACAAGCCCCAAATAGCCAGGGGTCTTAGTCTATGTAGTGCTCTCAAGCGGCTGTCTGGGCCCATCACTAGGTTTTGGCATATGGATCCCTGCCTCCCTTTCCCTTATGGGATATTCTTTAATTTGTTATTATAATTTATATAACAAAATGTTTTTTGTTTCATTCACACTCTCTTTCTCTCTCGTCCCTCTTGTTACAATGATGAGACCTCCCACCCATTTTAAATGTTAGATTTGAATGCTCCAGTCATAGCTCAGCAATGTTTTAAAAAACAGTCCCTTTAGACATTTGGGCTATGGAGGTGTTCAGACTGTCTAATTGACACTGGCCTGTGCAATCCCTATGTGTTGGGTTAATGGTCCCATTGTGTTTCCATGGATACAATTGTTTTTCCAATGTATTCTCTCTGCTGATCTGGAACCCTGATCTTCTGGCATTCTATGTTATGTGGTCAGGCCCCTACCAAGTGTAAGACACATGCAGATATTTAACTAGAATACATATAGGTTAAGGGTGGGGCTTGCTACCAGTTCCTGCCGCTCAAGTATTCACCGTCTGAATGTCAGTGCAGCAACATTACTGCCATATCTGTGCCACAGTTGCTGTACTAATACAGGAATGAGACATCACATCTCAATCACTACAGAGTGGACAATCCTATCACTTCAGATGCAAAACTAATAGAGCTGATCCAAACATTCAGATGCTCCAGAATCAAGGAACCAGTAACATCTCTGTACATTTGAACCAATCATTTGTACTTCATCTGTGGGAGCATTTGGAACCTGCTCATATTATCCCATAAGAAGCAGCCAAAGTCAGATATCTCTGTTTTGCTTTGGCTACGTGGGAAACATGAGAAATTCCCACAGTTTATCAGTTTGTTCCAATGAAAGGAATTTGGGAAGATCAGAGTTGAGTGGCAACAGAATCTGATTTCCACATCAACAAAGCCAGTTCTTTGAATATTGACGGCATCTCAAAATAGCATTTTTGGTCTCTTTGAGTTCTAAAATTTATACAGAAGTAGAAGAGTGAAAATTAATTCAGCATATCTTGAGATCACAAACTGGGGGAAGGGGGAGACTTTCTCTAAATTTTCAAATTTAAATCAAGAAGCAAAAAAATTCAAAGATGTGCTACCAAAAGCAATCTCATAGATACTGCAATCCAGACTGTTGGCTTCTGCCCATATGCCTCATGATGCTCCTCACTGAAATTTTTTCTCATACCTGTAACCAGCTTCATCAAAAGATATTGGAAGAAAACCGGGATAATGTGAAGCTTTTGACAAGTAAAATGGGACCAACTTTTCCTCGGCAATGTATAGATGATATCATGAAATTTTCCTCCACACCAGGTGAAGAAAATGTCCCAAATATTCGTGAATTCCAGAAGGATCGTATTACCACAGTTATACATGAAATCCTCAAGCAGATACTTCATATCTTTAATCAAAACCACACCAACTTGTCTTGGGATGAGAATTCCATCACTGTTTTTAAGCTTGGGTTGGACCAACAAATAGAGAAACTGGGAGCATGCTTTGGTTCAGAGCCAGATGATATCAGAAGTAAAGTGAGGAAGTACTTTGAACGGATGCACAAATTCTTGAAAGATAAAAAGTACAGTCTATGTGCCTGGGAGATTGTCCAGATTGAAATCAGCCAGTTTTTCACAATGGTGGATCAGCTCATTCAAAAACTCCCAGAGGAAGGTATTGTAAAGAATACTTTTTCTTTAGAGCAAAACAAGAAAAGGTGACCAGTTCCATAGATACTAGAGATTACTGAACAACACCTCACCAAGAAATGTTCATTATTCTCAATTAAGATCTCTTTCTGCATCCTGTCCCCACAGGGGAAAGCAGCCATATTTAAATAATTTATTTGTAAGGTCCATGCCAGAGAATTGGCTTGCTACTCACATGTTTCACCACTGAATTTTAAATAGAGCTGAACAAAAACAAAACCCCCACTGTCCTCTTCTATCCCGCCCCATGCAAGGGAATGACAGAAAGCAGGATTTAGTTTTATGTTTATTAGCACGTGGCATCCTTTTATTTTCCATCTGCACAAAGGTTAGACTCAGGCAAAGTGACCGCTAAGTGCAACATGGGCAGTCTAGTTTGGTTTGACACCGATGAGCACTCATGCCATAATCAAATCAAAATAGAGCAATCATACATTTTAAAAGCTGCAGGAAGGCATGGACAAGGGTCGGATTGGTTCTTTATTTTGAGAACATCATGTGGTCACCAGAAAATGGAGCAAATCAGCCCTTTCCCAAAGCTGTCCAAACTATGGGATAAAGCATCATATAAACACAAAGATGATGGGAAATAGTTGCACATTAAATTATTCATTAAGAAATGGGGAAAAATTTAATTGAATATGTTTATATAGAAGAGATGGTTTTGTAGGGCTTACATCAATTTAAAATTGGTGTTTACCTTTAACTTTATTTATTTATTTATTTATTTTATTTTATTTTATTTTATTTATATCCCGCCTATCTGGTCGGATCAGGACCACTCTCCAAGTGTTACCAGAATGAAGATGAGAAGTCCTATCTGTGATTTGACTTCTACCCCTTCCCTTGCCCCTCCATGGAGTTTTGAAGTTTAATTAATGGCAAGTAGTCTCCAAAAGTTATGTTATGTCATTCATGTTACTCCAGTGCAATTGAGCAAGAGGATTTGGGCCATTTAAAAAGAAATATCTGTGCAAATAGTTCCACTTAAATAAATCACTTTCAATTTTGAATACTGGCATGTTTACATTAACAAATATTAAGCTCAACTGAGAACTTAATTGATTGTAATACGTCACTGCCTTCTCTCCGACATATAAAACTAGAAGACTAAAAATCTTGTTATTATCTTACAGCTCCTGAAGCAAAAGATGCTGAGATCTCAAATCCACAGATTCTCCCAGAGTTCCCTGATGGGGAGACCATGAAGGAAGGTCAGCTGGAGAAAGGGGAGTGTTCTGGATGGGTGGGGGTGAAATACAGCTTTTGGTTGCAGCCTGCACATATCTGGAGGTTTATGGGACACTTGATAAAGGTTCTTCTTGAGCTGTGGAGATGCTGTAAACCTTCCTCATTTGTCAAAAAACAGTTTGGTGGGGTGGTGGGTGAGGCACTCAGGATATTGGCTTCAGTGTTGCCCACTGCTGTGTTAAATGCCTGGCCCATGCCAATATCAACATTGGGGGTTTTCAAAGAAATAACTATATGTTCATATGATTTTTCTCTACACAGAATTGCCCCAGGGTTGCAGCCAGCTTCAAAGCAAGCTACGGGAAGCCAACAAGAAAAATCTGGAACTTCTTAACGGCAACATGGGATCAGCTGTTCCTCGAGCATGTTTAAGTGACACAGTCAATTTCTTTTCCAAGCCAAATAAAGAAAGTCTTCAAATCATTCGTGAATGCCGGGAGAAGAATGCCACAGAGGCCATATATGAAATCCTCCGACAGATCGTTTTACTCTTTGGGCAAAATCATACTCAGTTGTCTTGGGATGAGGATTCCACAACAGTTTTCGAGCTTGGACTGGACCATGAAATTGGGATATTGGGACCTTGCTTGAGGTCAGGGATGGCACCGCTGAACATCAAACAGGGAGTGATGAAATATTTTGAACAAATCAATCAGCATCTGAAATATAAGAAGTACAGCCTGTGTGCCTGGGAGGTTGCCCAGATAGAAGTTAAGCAGTGTTTAATATTGATTGATCAACTCATCAAAAAGCTTCCAAATGAAGGTACTATGCTTTTTTTTAACAGTGGCCAGAAGCCTATAATCAATTTATGCTACCATAAAGGAAATGGCATTAAGCCTGGATAGCAAACAGCTCCTCATTAACAAGGTGCTGGTTGTGTTCTTGGGCATGCACCTGATTGTACCATTGGGTATATGCCCAGGAACAAAACCAGCACCTCATTAACGAGCAGCAATTTGCCATGAAGACTTAAAACAATATCTCTAATGCAAGCATAAATCTTCAAAAGGATTCTGGCAATACTTTTGCTTAGAATTAAAGCAATAGCAATATTATAGCTGCCACACAGAGATGCTTAAACTACATTTGCTTCCCACCAAGGTATTTTTACAATTCATGCTCACATTTCTTCTATACATCTTCTTTTACTTCTTCTGAAGGACACTGAACTTCTGACTGAAAACTGAACAAGACACATACATAGCAAAACTTGTCAGTGGCATGTCTGAAGTAACAACTCTGTGCATTCAGTGTTCTTTTTGGAGAACAATGGCATTATCTTTTTCAAACTAATATTAACAGCTGGTAACTTTTTTCCTATCAAAAAAAACCCACTTTGTAATAAGTGCTCTCTGGCCAGAATCCTATTGCAGTTTTACTCTAAGGTAACTGAAGCTGCATATGTTGTAGCAGCAAATTGTAGCTAATTTAGAAGTTACTGATCACTTGCCTGGCAGTAGGCCAGTTACATGACTGTCTCACAAACAAATATGCAGTTGGCGTGTTGTTAATTAGCTGCAATTTGTGGTGATGACTTACACGAATTTCATTTACTCTGAACTAATATCCCAATGGGATTTTAACCTTCGCTTGGTAATTCTATTACTTCAGGAGAAATTACATGCCATTTGAGTGGATTTGGGGCCATTTTTTAAACTTGTGCTTGTGTAACAAAAAAAGTAATTCATTGCTAATCAGTTACTTGTTGAGTATCAACCGGAGGTATGCATTTATTTATTTTTTACTTTTGGCCTACAACTGTTTTGATTCCCAGGCAGCACGGTTATGATGAGTTGTATAATACTGGGAGTTGCAGTCCAAAATCCAGATATCTGTTTACTTTAGTATCAAGTGATGAGTAATATAATACTTTTAAATGATAAATAAACATATATAGTGAGAGGAGGAAAGAGAATATTCAGCTGTCTTATGTGTCATGAGAAGGTGGGAATACATTATGCAACTCTCTCTTGTTTAAATACAAGAGAAGTAAATTACCTCTTATTTGGCATGCTAGCATTGGGTAGAGGAGAGTTTCCATTATATCTTCTAGCAATTTGACCATTAGGCTTTATTTCATGTTTGCATATACAGTGGTGCCTCGCATTACGATGTTAATTCGTTCCAGCGAAATCGCTGTAGAACAAAAATGTCGTAAAGCGAAAATAAAAAAGCCATTGAAACGCATTAAAACCTGGTTAATGCATTCCAATTGGCTAAGAACTCACCGTCCAGCGAAGATCCTCCATGGGGCGGCCATTTTCAGGTGCCTGTGCAGCGAAAAATGGCTCCTAAACACAGCGGGAAGCCATTTTGAGCACCCGGTGGCCATTTTGAAAACCAGACGATCAGCTGTTTTGATCATCGCGCAGTGAAATTCCCCCATTCAAAACATCGTTATAATGCGGATTTGTCGTTAAACAGAGCGCCCATCTTGCGAGGCACCACTGTACATTAATAGAAACCAAATGCCAAGCAGCTTCTTGATTACCTGCAATAGGGAAAGTCTGCCATTGGGTTCATTTCATATGAAACCAGCAGATTATATGCAATGTATAACTTCCATTGGAGATATTACAGAGTGAGATCATGGTGAGTGAGATTAGCTTGAGGTGGCACAGTATGGTCCAGCTAATTAAATACTAAAAAAAATTAAAAAATGTTGGCATCTGCAGGAAAGTCAACTGGAAATGGCTAATATTTGGTGGTGGTAGTGAGTGATGATAGTAGCCCTTTGCCATCTTCAGTCATCTGGGGTTTATGGTATGCCTAGTTAGCTGCTTTCCTGACCTGTGGAACCATTGAATCTGGGTCAGAAGCTCTGGAGATTCTGCTCAGTATGTTCAGTCACAACATGTATCCTCTAAAGCAGAGCCCCCCAACCTTTTTGGGCCGCAGACCAACTGAGCCTCTGAGGAAGGCGGGGCACCCCCACGCTCACATGGCACAAACTCTTGGGCGCATGCGCAAAGGGGTGGGGGAGCGCTCACGCTGGCACTGGCACACATGTGCGTGCACAAAGCAGCTGTGGGGAGGGGACTGCACGGGGGGGAGACGGGAGGTCTGTCTCCGTGGTCCAGTCTGGCTCTGGCCATGGACCGGCACAGGGCCACGGATGAGGTGTTGACAACAATGCTCTAAAGCATTGGTTCCCAACCTTGGATAACCGAGGTGTTTTTGTTTGTTTCTATCCTGCCTTTCTCCCCCAAAGGACCCAAGGCAGCTAGATATGCTGGCCAGGGTTTCTGGAAATTGCAGTTTGGTCTATGCATCCATAAAGTTAAATGGCATTGAAATGATATATGTTTCTACCTGTTTCTAGGTGTAATGAGCCCACACTTATTTAAAGGACTCAGGATTTTAAAAAAGGCAGACAATTGCCTTTGACTCCAAAATTGTATAAAAAGGGAACAGAGATGAGAGTTTTAGATGTTTTCTCCTATTTTAGCAGCAGAACACATTTAAGTGCAGCTATTGCTTATTTTTGTTGTGATTGCAAGTCCACAGTATTTGTAAATATATGTTCCCATGTTGCACTGAACATGTGTTTGCATTGTACAAATACTCATTAAAATAATACTCTTAGAACCACAGAACTGAAAGGGACTCTATGGATCATTGAGTCCAGCCCCTGTCAAGGATGCAAAGTAGGGAATCATACTCCCAACACTTAAACCCATGAGCTCTCTAGCAGTTCTACAGCAAGAGTCTTTCTGCCTGGGTTTGTATGATCGGTACCTAGGTTTGCTTTGTTTTGTTTTAATGACAGTTTTCAATCATTTCTGAGCCTGATCAACCTGCAGCAGGGTGGGGATCTGAGTCATCCTTTGGAGTGAGGGGAGATTTGAGGGGATTTAGACCAGACCATACATTAGGCTTGTGGGGATGTGGTGGCGCTGCAGGTTAAACCGCAGAAGCCTCTGTGCTGCAAGGTCAGAAGACCTGCAGTCGTAAGATTGAATCCACGTGTTGGAGTGAGCCCTCGTCACTTGTCCCAGCTGCTGCCAACCTAGCGGTTCGAAAGCATGCAGCATGCAGCATGCAAAATGCGAGTAGATAAATAGGTACCACCACAGTGGGAAGGTAATGGCGTTCCATGTCTAGTTGTGCTGGCCACGTGACCATGGAAGATTGTCTTCGGACAAACGCTAGCTCTATGGGTTGGAAACGGAGAAGAACACTGTCCCCTAGAGTCAGACACAGTTGGACAAATTGTCAAGGGGAACCTTTACCTTTACCTTATACATTAGGCTAGCTATTGTGAATATGCAGACGGTACTTATATAAAAATTAATACACACAACTGTTCATTGACCTCCTGTGGTTGCTTTTACCTCATCATAGCTGGATATCTTAATTTCTTATACTTTCACCACCTTGGATCTATAATATATGTTTTTAGTTTTATTGTTTTTAAATTAGTAAACTACCCAGAGTAGACCTTTGGTCTAGATGGGTGAGATAAAAATCCAATCAATCAACCAATCAATCAATATGGGTGTAAATTATTTGTAGCAAGGTATAGTTTTCCTTTTCTTCTTTGCATTTTCAGAGGCAAGTATATTTAAAAAAAGAAACAAAATAGTTGTGATTTTAAAAAGAGAAAGAGAGAGAGGGAGATTTCAAACTGAATGAAGAATTTTTCACTCCATGCCTTCTCTTTTCTAGATCCACCTGCCATTAATACATTAATGAAAGAACAGCTGGATGCAATTGCAATGCCTAAAGAACCCTCAGATCCTTCAGCTTTCAGTGGATTCTTCCTGTGACACATTCCAAGAAAACAGAACTGTAGTTGCTACCAATTTTTTCACTAAGTTTAAAATAGCATAATAACACTTTGAAATGCACTGATTTACACTGAAGCCTTTTACAGAAAACAGAACGAAATGAAAACAAAAAGGAAAACCAGAACATTGGATAAAACAGTAGAAGCGGTAAATCCAGAAGATTCTACATTCTTTTCACCTCATGAAAACCCTCTGAAATGAAATTGGGTGGGCGTTGCTTACACTGATTCTAGTACTATCTTTATTTTTAACTTCTGTCCATAAAGGGTCCTAAATGTTGATATTAGTACACTTCAACTCACTTAGAAAATGTTACTGGTATTTTAGGGACTATAACTAGTATTTATGTCACCAGTCAGTGTGAATACAGGTAGACGTTTATTGTCTTAATGTAATAACATGGATTTACTGTAATATTATTTATTCTCTACTTTCTTTAAATGAAAATTACATTTAAAACCATAATTACAAAAATGGAGAGTGTAGTATTTGAGTTCAGAAAAGTTTAAAAGTTATCCACAAATCAACATGTGTAAACATGTAATTAACAGAAGTCCAAGTGAGCAACTAATGTAGGTAGAGTAATATCCCTCTAGGGTTTCCTGAAAGGAAAACAAAGGAAAGACTTCAGGTCCTAATGGAGAATGGTAAAATCATAGAAAAGTGAAGGGGCCTACAAGGCCATCAAGTCCAAACCCCTACTCAATGCAGAAATACAATCAAAGCATATCTGCCAGGTGATTATCTAAGTTTTTCTTGAATACCTCCAGTGTTGGAGCACTCACCAACTCCTGAGGTAACTGGTTCCACTGTCATACTACTCGAACAGTTGGGAAGCTCTTCCTGAAACTCAACCAAAATCTGGCTTCCTTTAACTTGAGCCCATTGTTGTGTGTCCTGCACTCTGGGATGATCAAGAACAGATCTTGTCCCTCCTCTATATGACAGCCTTTCAAATATTTGAAAAGACATATCATATTACCCCTCAGTCTTCTTTTCTCAAGGTTAAACATGCCCAATTCTTTCAGCCTTTCCTCATAAGGCTTGGTTTCCAGCCCCCTGAACATCTTTGATGCCCTCCTCTGAACTTGTTCCCATTTGATAGCATCCTTCTTGAAGTGTGGTGTCCAGAACTGGACACAATACTCAAGGTGAGGCCTAACCAGTGCTGAATAGAGGGGGACTAGGGATTTGGAAACTATACTTCTATTAAAAAGGTAAAGGTTCCCCTTGACAATTTGTCCAGTTGTGTCCGACTCTAGGGGGCAGTGCTCATCCCCGTTTCCAAGCCGTAGAGCCAGCGGTTGTCCGTAGACAGTTCACATGGTCATGTCGCCAGTGCAACTAGACACGGAATGCCGTTACCTTCCCACTGGTTTACAGGAGCTGGGACAACTCTGTTGCATGGACTCAAATTGCTGGTCTTTCAACCTTGCAGCCCAGAGGCTTTGCAGTTTAACCCACGGCCTAAAAGAGCATTTGCCTTTTTTGTAGCCACATCACACTGTTGGCTCATATTTAGCATGTGATCTATGACAATTCCAAGATCCTTTTCACTCGTAGTTTTGCTGAGCCAGGTATCCCCCATCTTGTAACTGTGCAATTGGTTTCTTTTTCCAAGGTGCAAGACTTTGCACTTATCCCTGTTGAATTTCATTCTGTTGGTTTCAGCCCAGTGCTCTGTCATTTTGAATTTTGTTTCTGTCTTCTAGGGTATTAGCTATTCTGCCCAATTTGGTATCATCTGCAAATTTGAAAAGAATTCCCTGCACTCCCTCATCCAAGTGATTAATAAAAATATTGAAGAACACTGGACCCAAGGTTTTTAAAGGAAGAACAGAGAAGACAACATTTATGAAACCTTGCTAATGATAATAATGAAATCAAGCTGGTTTCAAAGTACAGCAATCTGTTTCAGGCTTTCTAGATATAAAGTACACTAAAGTGGCTTTCCAGTTCCTCCTGCTGGCAGTGTTTTAATAGTGTGCAGATTGCCCTGGACTGCAGAGATGGCAGGATATGAAACCCTATCAGCCACACATACGCCAGGTGATCTTGGTTTACCCTTCTCCCAAGATGTAGAATGGAGGATTTAAATTCCCAGGCCCTGCCTCCACAGACAGGTGCTCCATCCCACTGAGCTATATATGTTCAGTGAAACTTTAAGCATAGTTATATTATGAAAATTAATTTGGAGATGGATAAGGGTTTTAAAAATCATTTTAAAGTCATATAGTTGTCACATTTTTTTTGATCCATGTGTGTGTTCTCTTGGAAAAACTTTTAATCAATTTCAAAACTGTGTTGTATATTGATGGAGGGAGCTATATGGGTTTTTAGAATCATTGCGTTTGAAACGTTGTCCTGCATCCACCTACCCTCACACTGGCTGCTTCATAGCCACACGCCACGCTCCATACCCTCACACTGGCTGCTTCATAGCCACATGCCACGGTCTGTGATTGAGAGACAGACAGACAGACAGACAGACAGACAGTTGCTGGTGAAGGAGAAGGGGTGAGGGATCCAGAAATCAGGTGGCATGGGGAGAGACACACCACTTGAGTGGAAACAGAGATAGAAAGGTTGGGTGAGGGAAAGCACTCCTTCCTTCACAAAGTAAAACTGACCAGAGAAATTTACAAGAGTGTGTGCTTCTTCTGTGAAGAAGGAGGGAGCATTTTTGACTTCCATATACAGTAATGGAAGTCAAAAGTCAATTATAATTCTAAGAAAGGTGTACATTGTTGTTCTTCCCATGCAATATGCAGATAAAAGAAAAGCCAGGCATATTCTACATAGACATCGAGTTCACATGGGCAATGGTTGCACCTAATAAATGTTACAACAATATAGTACTTAGCAGTCTCCAGGTAAACACTCTGAAGCTATATTTAAGCAGCTTTATGCCCTGGGATAAAATGAAAAATGCAGTTTGAAACAGAACCATAAGATACTTGAGTTGTTCAAAAGCAGACGTCCTACATTTCATGAAAACAAGGCTGCAACTTGGGGTGTGCACTGACTTCACCTAAAAGTGTCCAATGAGAGGAACAAGGACATTTGTGCATTCCCGGATCAACATTAGGGAAGTTCAAGAAGGCCCCAGTCACCTCAGATCAATTTTTGCATCCCACAAATCACTAAAGTTTACTCCATCCTTGGAGGCAGTAGAAATGCTGAAATTGAGGGATGACAAAGAATACTTGGTGCCAGCTGCTGCCACAAAAGAACAAAGTACTGAAGTAGGAAACTGACTACTGAAGACCCAACAAAAACCAAAACCTGTCCTGAAAATGGTCATGAGCCAAATTCTTGTTGCTTGGCATAGTAAGTCGTAATTAGAATAGGATCATTTGAATCACTTGAGTTCAAGGAGGAGCTGACTCAATCTCCTTGATCCAATGGGCCTTCTCTAGTGCAATTTACTATGCTAAGCAACAGAATTTTGACCACTGAGTCCCAGAGAGGGTTCAGGCCAAACACACAGGACTCTATATATGTAACAACCATTTTGCTTTTAGGAAAGGCAAAAAGGAGGGTTTTACATTACTTACCACACTGGCTACATTCTAGACTTTTCCTTCCTCTCACCCACCTTTTTTTAGGTACCTACACAAAATCTTTACTACACTTGGGATCTAGTGGCTGAAATCCAGCACTGTAACACCACTTATGACTAATGACATCGTTAGCCACAGCATTATATTTTGGCACTATGAAAATTTTGCTTTATTCTAGTTTATATATTAACATTTGCTTTTAAAAGACAGCAATGCCATAAAAAGAGGAGACTCCTTTATGAATTTAGATTCTTAACATGGTCACCCAATGGTCAAAGCTAAGTCATCAGAATGAGATGCATGTTGCATTAGAGAAGAAAATTGACAGTTCCAGTGGTGATGAGGCTGGACAAACTCCTGCAGGGCAGCAGCTGGGTAGTAGTAGTACTGGAAGATAACATAAGTAGAGGGTCTTTCATAGACAGTAACAGTGAGACTCAGACTAGCACTTGTCAATATTGCACAGAAGGTGGCATAGGTAAACTGTTTCTGACTATTTTATATCTTGAAAACCCTATGATGACATAGTTCAGACAACAGTCCTGTAGTGCTTTTTCTTTCATTCCCACTTTGCAACTTGGGCTCAGAAAATAATATACAACGGCTCTACAATGTTGCTCAGTCATCTACCCTAACTGCAAGTTGGAGGAATAGAGAAAGAGGGAGTTCTGCAGTTTAGCTTATTGTTAAGATTACAAGTCAGAGTTGGATCTGAGGCTGGATTAGATTTTTTTGAGTCAAACATCCCCTTCCTCTTTCAGGTTGCAATGAAATTCAATGTGTGCAAATGGCACTCCCAGACCTTCTCTGAGGCCAATTCTAGCACTCTGTTGCACTTCAGATCTTCATAGACTACTTATATGCAGGTCACCTGGTTATTTTTTGAATATTTAAATACGTTTAAAATATTGAAATACTAGAACTGTAAAGAAAAGAAGCAGGTCATATCAGAGATTGGCTGCTTGGTTGGTTGTTTGGTTGGTTGGTTGGTTGGTTGGACTGGCCACTTGCTTGAATTCCCACTCTGGTTGGGTAACAAACACCTGGACACCAGAGATACACTGGGACTTTTTGTTGTAGGACCATTTTTCTCCTGGGGTTTCATAATATAAGAATATTGCTACCTGAGGAAGGCAAGAATAGAAAGCTATCACATTGATTAGCAAAATATACCATGACTTTCCAAAAGTTTTAAATAACCATCTGACTCCTCCCATGTTATGTTATTCATGTGTATAAAACTAAGCTCCTTAGACACTTTGGTAAGACAGCTACTTGAAATGTACATTAGAAACTAGATAGGCTGCCTACATGTGTTGAGTGAACAATCGCTTGGGGTTTCCATGGATACAACTGTTTATCTATAAGATTCTGTAGACATGATCCAGAACCCTGCTTTTACAGGATTCTCAGTCTCATGAAGTGGGGTCTACAGTATCAATTGTACTTGTATGGGAATCAGTCATCACAGATCAATTGCCATAGACAGAAAAATCCTGCTATTTCAGAAACAGAACCAAGAGGAGTGATCTAAACTGTCAGTTGCTAAAGAAAGAAGTAACTACGTGATATACATGTGTATCTGAGCCAGCCACGTAAGTGTCATCCCTAGAACCACACAAGGCCATTTCAAGTTGTTTCTTATGAAACAGCCTGTGGCTGACATCCTTCTCTAATTTTGGCTGCAATGTGAGAAGATCTGAGAAGATCAGAGCTAGCTGGCAACAGAGAGTGACTTTCATGCTAGAAAAGCTAGTTCTTCAAATATTGATTCCACCTCACAAATACTGATTCCATACCATCTTTTCTCATTGGAGAAAAGTGGAAATAAGAATACTGGCAGGTCATAAACCAAATGATGACACACAAAGTCAGAGTTCAAAGATGTAACAGATTCCAGGACATCAGTCACAAGGACCAGTTTCCTCTTCCCAGCATGATCACAAATGGTTGGCTTTTGCACATCTGCTTTCTGATGCTCTCTGTCACTGAAATCTTGTCCCAGGGCTGCAGCCAACTTCGCAGCAAGCTACAGCAAGCCAACATGGACAATCTAGAACTTCTGGGCAAAAAAATGGGAACAACCATTCCGTTACAATGTGTAGATGATATAATCAACTTCTCATCCAAACCCAATGATGTGAGTCTTCCAAGCATTTATGAGTTCCAAAAGGAGAACGCCACGGTGGCCATTGATGAAATCCTCCAGCAGATCATTTACGTCTTTAGTGAAAACCACACTCAGCTGCCTTGGGATGAGAATTCCGTCACTGTTTTCAGGCTTGGGTTAGACCAGGCAATTGGGGAATTGGCGCCCTGCTTGAATACAGGGATGCAGGACATCAGAGACAAAGTGAAAAAATACTTTGAACGAATCAATGTCCTCCTGAAAGACAAAGAGTACAGCCTGTGTGCCTGGGAGATTGTCCAAATGGAAGTTAGACAGTGTTTAATAGTGATTAATCAACTCATCACAAGGCTCTCCAATGAAGGTACTGTATACTTTTTAAAACAGCTCTTTTGTTTGGCATCCAAAAAGGAAAATGAGTTTTGTAGCTACTGATTAAGTATACTGAAACTAGGCTCACTTCCAACCAGAAATATTTATGGCTTGTAATATCTTCTTGGACTTCATGTCTTCCTCCTTCTGAAGAGCATTTGAATAACAATTCCATCATCAAAATCATATACAGACATAAGTTTCATATTCAAAATATGCAACATATTTTGTCACATATATGTTCATAGGAGAGGTAGTTTCTTTTATTTAGGTCAGGTCATCAAATGTCACCCACTACCTTCTTCTGCCCGCCCCCCCCCCGCAACCCAAAAGTGAAGGTGAGAAGCAAGGTCAGCTACAAAGACAGCATATTGGGAGCAAAATATGGTGGAATGAGGCATTCCAGTCTGGCTCCTCATCTCTCTTGCCAGCTGGTTTGGTTATGTGGGGAGGAGGTCATCTAGCTGAGGCAAAAAGACTCTAGCAGTGCAGTTGCTATGTTTTAGAGATTTTGAGCAAAGCAGGAAAAAGTCTATTCTTTGGACAAGAAGTTCCAGAATCTCCCAGCCAGTGTGACCAGCATTTATATGGGAGTTGTCATCTGAAAAAGCAAATACAGTAGGACCCCTGTATCAGCAGAAAATAGGTTCCAAGCCCACCCCACTGCCCTGCACGGATGCTGGAAAACATGGATTATAGAGAATGCTATTTTAATAGCAAACACTATACTTAGGATTAACTCTGGTTCCTTCTAGTGACCAGTTCTGTTAACGTTATCTTTGGAAATATTTATTTCTATGATTTTTCTTTTAATATTTTTAAGATTGTAGATAAGTGAATCAGCAGATACTGATCCAGTGGATACAGGGGTCCTATTGTACTCACAACCCTGGTTCAGAGGGGTTGGACCAGATGGATGGGGAAACAAACTGCTCAGTCACCTCCTTACAGGTGGAATCAGGTAGTCACACCCTCAGCTGCCTCACGTTAGCCTGCTTCAAAAAGAAAATGAGAGAATGAATGCAACAGAATGTTTAAAAGACATACAGGTGGTTCTGTAGGGAAGGAAGTTTTCAAAGGCTGCAGGAAGCTAAATGCTCAGTCATTTTTTCTCTCCAGTGCCCCCAGTTTCTAGGCTGTCCTGTTTAGAACTTAATTTGTCCTTCCGTCAGTGATCAACAAAGGAGGATGCTTATTGCTCAGCTTGAATACCCAGGGATAGGTTGTGGGATATTGTGGGATAGATGATTCTTTGGCCACCCCATGTTTAAAATAAATAAAGCACAAATTTCCTCTTATTTCATGAGTTATTGTAGGGTACTTACTGAAAAGCTCCCATTTAATCTTTTCCCCATGTTCGATGTTAATTTCTCACTTCCATCTTTGCATAACCATATAACACTATTCAACACTGGATCAAGAACAAGTGTAGGGTAGTGGATATAGTACCTGACTAGGAATCAAGAGATCTGGGTTCAAATTCCCTCTTAACTTGTTTCATATGTCATGTATGTTGAAAAGCTTTTTTACGGTGGTTATAAATCAGAAACAACTTGGTGGGCCGTGTCAGCCATAAATTGTATCACATTTTTCCCAGGTGACAATGGGAAAGGGTTTCAGGTCAAGCCATTATTCAAGTGAATACCCAGACCATGTGTTTCCTGTTAAGAAACTGTATATGACTTTGCGGTGGTAGATAAGGATAGTTCTAGGCAAGCATTGATGCACAATTTTAAATTCTGGGCAATGGGGACTTGCAAAATGCAGAGACAGGCGGATGTTGCAGCAGCATTTTCACACCATCGTAATGATCAATATTTGGGAGAGCTGTTGGTGTTGGTTCAAGAGAAACTGTATATGACTTTGCGGTGGTAGATAAGGATAGTTCTAGGCAAGCATTGATGCACAATTTTAAATTCTGGGCAATGGGGACTTGCAAAATGCAGAGACAGGCGGATGTTGCAGCAGCATTTTCACACCATCGTAATGATCAATATTTGGGAGAGCTGTTGGTGTTGGTTCAAGAGCCAGTCATAGAAAAGGGACAGGAAATGATTCTGTCATACATAAAACTGGAGGCTCAAAGAGGGCTAAGGCACTGATTAATCTTACAGCTCCTGTTGCAGCAGCTGAGGCAGATGAGATGAACACTCCAGGACCGTGCCCTGCCTCAGCTTCTTCAAGGGTGAAAGAGAAGCAGGAATCAGGTGAGTAGTCTACGATGCTGGTGTCTTTGTTCACAGCTTGCAGTTGCCTGGAAATGGCCCACATTGGAGTGGGTAACATTCAGGGGCCTTAAGGGGGTAGTTTCACACCTGGAATCCATGGCAGCCTGTGCAAGGGCAGGAAATTATGAGAAAAGTAAAAAAATAAAATAAAAGATGTAATGCACAAGCATCTGGATGTTCACTTCTGGTTTTGATTCCAAAGGATGAATCAGCAGGGAGAGCAACCTGATTTGTACAAGAATCACCAATCCTGGGGGTCTGCAGGAATCAAAAAACTGTGTGTTTTGTTTTTCTTTAGAGAGAGCATTGAAGGAGCTCTGTGGCAGCTACAAAAACAGACTTGGGCCACATGCAGCTTCTGGGCTACATGTGGCCCACTTGTGGTAAGCACCCTGGAGCATTTTTTTAGCCAGTACATCCATTAATAGCTGGACACTTCTGTCTCAACAGAAGTTTTGGAGATTCTGCAGACTATAGGGTATATTCTGAGTGGGTATGGAGGACATATATGGCACCCAGAGTGTGGATATGACTTTTTTAAAACTCCTAGGTATATCTTAAAGTGCTTCATATCTTGAGTGAGGGCACGAGATTGCAGCCAAGGTAGCAGAACACAGCACCGCTCAGACAATGGGCACCTTTTGGCCTTCTCCCTGGGAAGCAGTGGAAGCTCCACCAATGATGCAGAGACTTCAGCCCGGCCTATTCCCAGGGGACAAAAAAAAAAAGCCCAACTAGATTCACCACAATTGTTCATTCTGTAAGCAGAAATCAAACTGTTGTAACAGATACTTGGGAGGGGTTCGGTCAAAGAGGAGATCCAGATGACCCAAAGAAAAGGAGGCCATGAGTGGGGAAAGGCAATATTCCAGAGAAGCAACATGTTTCGTTTGGGTGATGTCAGCCTTATTCAAGGCTTCAGAATAAAATGTAGAAAAGGGGGAACAGTGGCCTGATACCCCTCCTTCATCATTCTGGACGTGTGGAGCATTTCATGGAGGAAGGCTTGGTTATTCAGAAGAACTGATCAGGTTAAATCTGATCAGGTTAAGGATAGGCATTTCTCTTGTGTTGACAGATTGCACAAATGCACAGTTGGGCCAGGATGGCTTGTGACTGGGGCAGGGGACACCTCCCTTTGAAATGTTGGGGTGAGATGCCTCTCCATTCCAGTACATGAGCCGTTGTGCCCTAGGAGCAATAATGGAATGTATTTATTTGTAGGGGGCTGGGGAAACTTTTCTTTATCAACACCAAACTCTCTGCCCTTTGACTTTGATTTATTCATATAGAGAGAGGCAGCAATCCACAGCTTTTGATTTAGTACTGGGAGGTGTTCTGATCCAGCATCTGGGCAGGTACTGTTCAAAAGCTTTCCACCAGTGTATCTAATCTTTTAAAATAAGAACAGGGACTGGTAGGTGGAGGAGTATCACTTGTATCAGGAAAATATTTTCTCTGCTGGGGAGGGAGGGAGGAAGCGAACTAAGTAGCTGAAGTAGTTTCTGGGAGAGTTAGAGCATCCTTTAGGGTAGAGGAAGGTTTCCTCATACATAGTATTCAAAGGCCACATGATTTGAAAGGATGGAGAAGGTTCTGACTCACATATCCAGGTAAAGGTTAAAGGATAACAGAGTGGCAAGGGTAGGTAAGCCTCAAAACATCTCTCTCTCTCTCTCTCTCTCTCTGTGTGTGTGTGTGTGTGTGTGTGTGAGAGAGAGAGAGAGAGAGAGAGAGAGAGAGAGAGAGAGAGAGAGAGAGAGAGAGAGAGAGAGAGAGAGAGAGAGAGAGAGAGAGAGAGAGAGAGAGAGAGAGAGAGAGAGAGAGAGAGAGAGAACATTAGAAAATTTGAGCTGGTGATTCATTAGAAACAAAGCCTCCTTAAGAGGTTAAATAAATAAATAAATAAATAAATAAATAAATAAATAAATAAATAAATAAATAAATAAATAAATAAATAAATAAATAAATTCATTTGTGTGAGATTTATCAGTTCAACTAGTCATGGATTAGTTTGCTTTTGTTTTTTGATTGTTCATCAGGAGGTAAGCATGGGACTCATTTGCACACTGATTTCTCAGGCACAGGAACTTTGAAAGAATGTGTCTCTGGAGGAAAAAATACCTTATGGTCTTGTATCTATGAAGCTGATCTCTCCTTTAGTTTTGCCCTAACAGGGATGGAGCTGTATTTGGAGAACAGAATAAATTAATTAGAAAACTGGATGTTTGAATTATGGAAATCCATTCCTCTTTTAAAACTTTTTTTAAAAATTGTTTACAATGTTTATCAATGCACATTGTATTGTATTAATTCTCACCCCAAATAATTGGCTTGTGCATCATGGCTATCATAAAAGATCTGTAGCAAAGAATAAATCAATGTTCTGAATTTTCAGTATGAAAAAACTTTGAGCTGGTGATTCAAAAGATTCCATATCCAAAGACTTCAAAAAGAGAGAGCAAATTTTCGGATTGCATCATGAATTGTCATCACTCGTCTTCTTCTTTCCAGATTTACCTACAGTCATTGATGCAGTAATACAGGAAGAAGAACTGAATGACACGGGAACTTGAAGCATGCCACAAACTGCTCCGCTCTCACAGGATTCTTCCTGTGACACATTAGTAGGAAGTGAAACAGCTGCTTTACATTTCATCACTAACTGAATTGTTTCCTTAAGTTCCAAAGAACATTTTTAAATTTGGAAATACACTATGCTACACTAAAGCCATAGAAAATAAAAGCCCCAAATGAAACAAAATGAAACGAACCAAAGAAGACAAATGTGTAATAGAATAGGTAAAAATGGAAAGCTATTTTTCTATATTTCCTCTCCTTTCTGTCAAGAATTGCACAAAATGAAACGAACCAAAGAAGACAAATGTGTAATAGAATAGGTAAAAATGGAAAGCTATTTTTCTATATTTCCTCTCCTTTCTGTCAAGTCCTACCTCCTTGAAGTCCTACCTTCAGGGCCATGAATGTAGAGGCTGAAACTGCAGGCTCAGTGAATGTAACGTAAATCTAGTTCCAGCATACTATTCTTAAGGGCCATAAGGTGACGAATTTGAACATTATAACCTTCATTTAATGTCCTTCATTTTCTGTCGTAATTTAATATTACTTTCCTGGATATAAGTAACATTAGAACTTAAATGCTATATTAAATATGTCCTATTAAAAAACCTCTAAAACTATGGATGGTTTATGGCAGTTTATATCTTTCAGTAAAAAAGGGGAAATTAGGCATGGACACAAAGCCTTATATTTTACACAGATAACAAGGAGTTTTTTAAAAAATACATAATGCATATTCCCCCCCTTTTTTTTTTGCTAATGTTGCTGCTAATGGGGAAAAATCATTTAGCTTTTCACCCCTGTGAAAAATCCCAAAACAGTTGACAATTTTTTTTCTATGGGATGTCTCAGTACACCACAACATTCTTTTTCATTAACAATGAGAACATTTGCAAGCATTTGTTCTATCTTTAGCACTTGTTCTATCCTTAGTATCTTGCCATACATCCCAGATGCAATGTGTTGTAGATTTGGCAGAGATGTAGCGATTCCACAACAGGCAAATTTTCAGCCTTGACACTCTCAGTATTACTGTTGTAGCCGTGCTCTCCTGTGACGCCAAACAGAAATAATGCATTCTATATACTCAAGTAATGGGCAGCTGCCAGTGTTTATGGCTTACAGTGCTCATCAGCCCCTAACCAGCATGGCGGGAAATTCAAATTGCTAGCCGTTAGTAGGCGAAGAGGCTGCTTCTTCGTAGCTCCTTTGCCCCAACGGTTAGAGTGAATGTGATTGGAGGAGGCTTCGGACTGCCTGGTAAGGTAAGGCACTGCTTTCTGCTTTTTAAAAACTGTGTTGGGTGGGTTTTGCAGCGTGGTTTTGGGCTGGGTGGTGGGATTATGTTTCTATGCTTGCGATGGGGGGGTTGTTTGTTGTTTTCCCCCCATTTCCGATGGGTCTTGCGGGGGTTTGCTTGCTTTCTGCTTTGCTTTTTTTGCATTTCTGATGGGTCTTGCATGGGTTGCTTGCTTTCTGCTTTGCTTTTTCTGCATTTCTGATGGGTCTTGCATGGCTTGCTTGCATTTCTGAAGTGTCTTGCACGGTTTGTTTTCTTTTTCTTTTTCCTCTTCAGCTGGAACAAAAAACTGATCCCACAGCTACAAATACTCAACTATCCCACACACTACACCAGAACACAGACAGAGTTCTAACTCCTGTCCTCTGAAGATGCCGGCCACAGAGACTGGCAAAACTTTAGGAAGAAAAACCTCAAGAACAAGGCCAAACAGCCCGCAAAACAACCATCACATCCCGGCCATGAAACTCTCGAGAATACAGAAAAGTTTGAACCAAAGTATTTGGGGCAGGTGGACCATAATACAGGAAGTTTCACTCCACTCTGCCTAGCCAACATATGATGCGGAAGCCTCTCCAGCCAGTTTCCAAGCTTGCCAGTTTTCTCTCTCTCCCCCACTCCCTTGTTTTCTGGTGGTGGTAGGGTGGTACAAGTTAATGTTAGCTGCTTGGTTACTTGATGACTCAGTTCTGGGTGGTTAAAATGTTTATGGTGGTAGTTTGGTAGTACAAGTTAAAGTTGGTGACCGGGATTTGGGGTGTCGATCATTTGATATGGTATTACGTATCTTATTATAAAAATTTTATGGATGATTCAGAGCATTGGGGTTGGATCCAGGTCATATGAGCGTGGCAAACTGGAGCCTTCTCAGGCTTGCTGTTAAGGGAATCACCTTAAGGGTTGCTGGGACAGGGCCATGATCTGGCCTAGCTTAGCAGGCCCAGTGGCTCATTCCTACCATCAGGTGGCAGGGAGTCATGGGCTGGTGTACACCAACATGGCCTCTAAAGCACTGCCATTTCTGGCAGAAGTTGGTGATGGGCATTGGGGGGCACTCGAGCCTTTCAATGCACTGGATCCAATTCCCAATTATAGGCCAGGGACAGCTACTATAACCAGTAAAGGTGTGACCTTTTTGCCTCCAACGACATGTGCTTGTAATTTTATAATGTGGGTTTTGTGTGGCTTTCTCAGCACTAGGCCAACAAAGCTGAATCACTCCAATTCAGATTTTCAGTGTATTTGCACTCTAAGAGGTTTTCTTAGAGTGAAAAGAGCAGGCATAGAGGTGTCTTGATCAATGTAAGTCCCTGAAACTGCTTCACAAAAATTTAGGTCCAGAAAAAGAATAAAGCAAGCCTGAAATATGCTATCAAAATGTGCAAACATAAAGCATACATGTCTAACCTGTAGAATTTGGTTTCATGATTATTGCTCTACTTGATTTCCCAAGGAACATTTATGCACAAATCTATAGGTAGGAGCAAATGTGAAATCACCCCCAAAAATGGAAAAGCAATGACAGGCCTGCTTTTAATATTTGAACTACTTATATCATTAGTGCTCAAGAGTGCACATTGGTGCACAGCAGCATTCCTTAAGCCAACTAAAAAAATTGCCCCAAACAACCATTAAACTGGATCTTAGATCAGCAGCAAATTTGGCATAGATGTAGCAGAAAGTCTGCTCTTGCTCTGTGACAAATTTGGAGAAGTTTGGCAAAGGATTTTTGAGTTATGATTTTTTAAAACAATAATTGCACTGTTTTATCTTGCACAAAATCAGGCAACCTGGAGCTCCAGCGGCTTTAAAATACATCAACTATATTGATAAGACCAAATTTACATACCTGGAAAGAAAATTGTTAGTGCCTGCTGCTTTTTTTAATTGCAAAGGAATTCAGCCATTTATGGCCCTAGTTTCAAAGTAGAGATTTTAAAGCAAGATAAACTATGAGTTTCCCAGATTTCTATTACAACTTGCCAATATTCTAAATGGACTGAACTTTTGACTCTTTCCATGAAAGTATTTAAAAAGATATTTTTTAAAAATAGAGAATTATACTCAGCAGCTCACTTATCTTAGCTGTGAAATTATTGTTGTTTTTTTGCTTTGTGGCTGGGGATGATCTCAAAGCAAGTTTTGCCCAATGTACTCATGAGTAAATTTACCTAGCTTACCTACGAGTAAAGGGACAGCAGCAATATCAGCCAAGGACTGCTGCAATGTGAGGGTAGAGCATTGGTATGAAGATTAGGGAGACAGAAGGGAGGTTTAAAAAAAACCATTCCCCCCCTACCATTCTTGCTCTATATGAGTTTCTGGCTTCCAAAATGTCATATCATTAAGAGATCTGCTCAGATCCTGCAAACCAACAGCATCTCACATTAGGTTGTTCTTGCTGCTCTTGCTGCTCCCCCCACCCACTTCCTAGCAATAATGTCTTTTCCATTAAGTTCTGCTCAGATCTTGCAAACTGTGGTTCCTTCATTGAGTTAATCCATTTCATTTTAGATCTTCCTCTTTGTCTACTGGTCTACCCCATTTTCCTAGCAATATAGTCTATTCTGGTTACTTCTGTATTTCCATTATATGTGCATATTAGGATAGTCTCAGGTTACTCATTTTTGCTCAAGTGAGAGTTCAGGCTTGACTTAATTGAGCACCTACTTTTCTGCTTTTCTGGCTGTCTTCAGTATCTCTACCAGCACCAAATTCCTGTCTTATTTCTCTATCTTCCTTTCACATGCTATCCATGATTTTTACCTTGCTTTCCTATGACATTCTTTGCTAACTCCAACCTCTTCCTTTTTAAAAATTTCAAAGAGCAAAGGGATATATTTTGGAAAACATGTACACAGGATATCCATAGAAGTTTTGGTCCAGTACAGCTTTTCTTCCTCATCTTGCCTAACTCAAAGAAACAGATATGAAATTGGAATATAGCTTTCCACTCTGCATTTGGCAGAGTGGGCATGGTAACATTAGTTTAACTGATAGCTTAAAGGGTGGGTATATTTCTCCACTGTATGTGTTGTCCCTAACTCACACCTTTGCTTCAGCATTTCAGTAAGTCCAAAACAGCCCTTGTAAATATTTTGGCACAGAGGGAGTACAGCCACATTTGAGCTGTCCTCGCATCAGTCTTCTCCCTCACTTCTCCTCTACCACTGGGTACTTCTATATGAGGGATTTTTAAAACTGAATTTGTGGGTAGCATATATATATTTAAACTCCCATTTTGAAGAAACAGGAAATTCTGTTCTTCAAAAACCATTCACACTTGTTGAAAAACAGCTCTGACAATTGCTTTGTGTTTGTGTGAGAAGCAGTTAACTGATGAAAAAAGGAGCCAGCTTCTGGGATTTACCTTTGCAGGTGTCACTTTGTGAAGGGTAGTGACCACAAGAGGGTATCCTGTAGACCAGTGGTCCCCAACCTTTTCCAAACCATGGACTGGTTAGTGGGTGGCAACGTCCGTGTGGGGGGGCGGGGCACCCATGCATGTATGCATGGGTGGGCAGGGTGCCTGTACACATGGGGTGGGTGGGGCACTCATTGCACACATGCACAGGTGGGTGGGGTACCGTGCATATGTGGGGCGGGCTGCACATGCTTGTGTGCATGCCTGGGGTGTACATGTGGGGGCCCAGGAGATCTGTCTCCACAGCCCAGTCCTGTCAAGACCACAGCCCACGGACCAGGGGTTGGGGACTTCAACTGTAGACCATCTTGACTGCTGCCATTGGTGTTGTCAACACTCAGGTTGCCTTTTGCTTTGTAAAGCTTGGCATCCTTTTTCCTGTTGGCAATGTGGACACAATATTGTGCAGGGCTATTGGACCATTTCCTGGTTTTTTGAATCGTGGGTACATTCATAACCCAGAAATTTTTTTCAATAATTCAATAGAGAGAATAAAGTTCTATATTTTCAGATATGTGTTCACCTTTTGTGTTCTGATGTGTTTACT